GAGCGGAGGAGAGCAGGAGGCAACACCTGGAGGCGCTGTTCCAGAGGTGAGCAGGAAGGGTTGATAATGGGGAAAGAAGGCAAGAACAGATTGATTATTGCTTTACAGACTGTATAGAAGTAAAACCATTCATTTAGCTACTAACTTAACTTAAATTTATCCTTTTTTTTTGAGATCTTGGATCTCTATGAGACTACCTATATAAATTAATAATAAATAAAAAAAAACCTGCTCAGCATGTAATAAAGTTCTGCAGAAACCCACCAAAGAACCATCATTTGATTCAAGTGTTTTAAACCAGGAAAAGAACTAGAGCCTAGAAATGGACGTGCCTGTCTGGTAAGGTGTTTTGGATGGTTGATATTTATTGGTGCTGGATGAATAAACTGAATTGTTTCTATTTACTATCAGAGACCGGATCAGCTGGGCTCTATCTCGGGTATCCGAGCAGAAGAGGATGTTTTCCTTAGTAGACCAAACATGAACGGGTGGATCGTCTTCCTTTCACCTCATCACAAGATGCAACTCTTTGCGTTTGTCGCTTTAACTAAAACACCACCAATTGTCGTTAAGACTGAGCAGAACCATAGTCGTGTTCTTCAAATGGAAAACCCGACCTGAGCAATGGGAGGAGGATTCTGTTCTTCCTCTTGGTGCTTTAACTCTGACTCTTTTTTTTTTTTTTTTTGGCCCAAACAGATACGGAGAGAACGGCACCATCTCTCTGGAAGGTCTGAAGCGTCTCTTAAGAAGCGTCGGTCTGGATCGGATCAGAAACATCATGGTGAAGCATCAGGAACAAGCAGGCGACCACCATCATCATCATCATCAATTTGGCCATCATCAACACCACCATCATCATCATCATCATCACCATGTCCATAAAGCTAACCACAGGAACCAGACTGCTAGTCAGAACAGAACTGGGAGTTCTGACCTGCAGCTAATTAAACCCAGTATGGCGGCGGGTCAGGAGGTCAGAACCACGGCTGGAAACGGCGCCGGGGTTTCGGTTAAAACGAAGAAGAGAAGCTTGGATGGAGCGAGTCCACCTGGAGACGGAGGCGCCGCCATGATGGCGCTGAAAGGCAGGTCGGCGGAGACGAATGGAGATGATCACGACCACCATGAACACCACCATGGCGACCACGATCACCACGGCGACCACGATCACCACGGCGACCACGATCACCACGACCACCACGATCACCATGGTGACCACGATCACCATGGTGACCACGATCACCACGGCGACCACGGCCACCACAGTGACCTTGGCGACCACGACCACCATGATGATCACGATGACCATCTGCAGAACCGCAGCATGGACAGTGAAGAGGTACGTCTCCGTCTCCCGATGCTGCCTCTGTTAACAGGGACGGTCTGTGACGTTTAATGGTCCCAAAAAATGCAGGAAAACTGGAATCTGTCCTCTGATGGAGACCAGCTGATCTGTGATGATTTTCATTTGACCGTAGGCGCTCCTCTGAGGAATACGTCTAAATCTTTGACCAGTAGACGTCAGTGTTGGTTTGGAGGCAGCTGTGAGGCGCCTCAGTCAGCCGCACCGCCGCGTCAAACGCTGCTGAATCCAACAGAACTATCTCATCTCCGCAGCCAACCATAACCCTTCTTATTGTAATGAATTATTCTGATGATTGGTTATTTAAACATTGAGGAAAATATCTGCAGATTAACACCTTAAGTTAATTTGATAAGTTGCATAAATACATGATTTATACATTTAGAATGAATAAATGAGTTTTTTAGAAGAAAATCCAGAGTTTATTGCTTTCAGCTCAATAGTAGATCTTGTCATTAGTGAACCCTTTATGGAGCAAAAGAAGAATCTGCAGATTAAAACAAGAAGATCGACATAACGAAAGCTTCAGAGCAGCTCTGCAAGGAATAAAGTTAAAATCATCAAGTTTACAAGTTTTTACAGCTTCAGAAGGCAGATTGTTCTCCAAATAATCTAGAACTCCAATAGTTGCACTGCCTGTGGTGGGTTTTGTAATTTTTCTCAGTTTTTTCATCACAGCTTCTGTCCCTGATATTTGTTGGCAGTTTGTTGGTTTGTTTCTGGGCTGAAAATGCTCCGTGCTTTGATTTCTTTATCTGACTGTATGTTTTCATGTGAGCTGCCAGTCAGCTGATTCAGGGGAAAGAATTAGTTTTCTATCTTTATCACTAATTTCACCTCCTGTTGACTAAAAAAAAAAAAAAAATCTTAAACACGTTTTAGGCTTTTCAGGCTGCAGCAGCTGAAGACATAAACACCTAAAAGCATTTAGGGATGGATTTTAAATCAAACGCATCAGAATCTGTGATTTCTGCAGGTTTATGCTCAAGTTTTCTTCTGGGAGAACTTGACTAAGGCTCAACATTAGGTTTCAGAACCAGTCTGATTTTCCATGTTTCCTCCTGCAGTGTTTGAACGCCTCAGGTCTGCTCTTCTCCCACGGGATGTCACAAGAAGGGGGCGTCGCCCTCAGAGACTTTGCATACCTGTGCCCCGCCCTGCTAAACCAGATCGACAGTGGGGCGTGCCTCCTGCACGGAGACGTCTCCCAGCATGACCACAAAGGTAAGAACCAGACTCACTGATGCAGAAAGATCCTTCTGATGTTCATCGGCGGCGGCGATGGCCTGCTGAGGAAGCTGAAAGCCTTAAAAAGGCGCTGCTGCAGGACCAGTATGGCCTCCACTCTCAGCCGTGGTATCACCCTGATACCACGACTGTTTTCACAACAAACGCCTTTGTGTTTGTTACTCCTGATTAACTGGTTCCCTCCTCTTCATGACTAATCACTTCTTAAGCACTTCCTGCTTCTCAAAATATATATTTTATTGGACAAATATGACTTAATAGATTTATTTTCTCTTTTTTTTAATTCAGTTTTCAGTCTAGTATCAACAGCTGCAGGTGAGCTCCTTCTGACATCACCATTTGGATTGTTTTTATAAAAAATGATGTACAAATTTAGATGATGCAGAATGATGCAGATGCAAAAAATAAAAAGATTAAGAAAAACAAATTGAAGAAAATGAGATGAAGCAGGTAATGATGTAGCCGTGGCGACCAGACCTTGTGGAAATGAGTGTGAACATTTCCAGTTTAATGTGTAAACGTATCTGTTATTTACTCAGCAGCTAAAGACTCTAAAACCCAAAACAGTAATTGCTTCGGCTCAGTCATTCCTGCAAGTTAAAAAGCCAATTCATCCCTGTGAGATCGGGTTCTATGACTTCCTCATGAAATGATTGGTTATAGGAACTGCTCACCCCTCTCACTACACGCCATCCTGCTGCTCAAAACACTCAAACCACCTCCTCCTCCCCAAGACTCAGCTAAGCACCATGGGCGACCGGACCTTCTGCTCTGCCGCTCCTCGGACCTGAATGCCCTCCCTGATCACCTGAAGGAACCACAGACTATCCAGACTTTTAAAAAAAAGATTAAAAACATTTATTTTAAGCAGAACGTACGACTTTTAACCTGTATTTTACAATGATGTTAAGTTTTAAATTTTTTGCTTTTACCTTTCTATGAAGATTTTACCTGTAGCATAAAAAAAAAAAAAAAAAAGTAAAAAAACAATCCACTGGACTTTGTTTCCAAATTCTGAAGATGTTTCCCTTCCCATCCAGGAAGATTTATCAATTCAGAATGTCTGGACTAGAGTTCAGTTCGAGGTTTTATACAGTAGCCCAGCAAAACTTTGTTTTTGTTTAGAAAACATGCAAATTAAAACAGAGGAAGGGGTCCAGCCTGCAATACCCCTTTGGTCCCCACAGCAATCATCTTCCTCAGTTTGCAGGAGTGACTCATCAACACCTTCCTCTTTAGATACTTTATTATCGTCTGCTTGTATGGTTAGCAGAAGGTTAAGCTGTTTTAGAGCTGGATCTCAATTAGAATATCCTCAGGTGTGCTTTGTTTTGATAAGTCTCTTCAAAGTAAAACAAAACTTTTAGTTGCGCCTATAGTGAATAAAAACCTGATTTTTAGAATATTGATGTTGAGTTTTAAGGGAAGGATGCAGAAATGCTGTGGTCAGAATAAGCTGCTGTATCAGAGCATATTAAAGGAAAGTCGAGTGGAATGAAAAAGTGTGTTAGTAAATAAGTGGCGGTGGGCTGCAGGATCGAATATGGTGAAGCAAAGCTGCACACACACCAAAGAGAGGAATCCCTTCCTCGTGTCAGCTACGCTTGATCCATAGGTTAAGAAGACAGGTGCAGGGCTGTGGTTCAGTGGTCATAAGTCCTTTTCTATTGACATTTTAAAGAAAATGTTGAGTTTTTATTTTTCGTTTCAGCAGGAAAGTGGAAGAAAAGCTGTTCCTCAAAGAGCCGAGGCAGATCATTGCAGCTTTGTCTCACCGTGACCTACTGTGATGTTTGTTTTTCAGGACATAAACACCATAAACATTCTCACAATCACCATGGAGATCACAAACACGCGTCAAATAACCAGAGCGACAATGCTGCTGGAGACAACAGCAAACACATCGCAACAGGTAGGATCAGTTCAGATTAGGGATCCACGATAATGGGATTTTGGCCGATATCCAATATGTCGATATTTTAAAACTCATGTAGCCGATAACCGATATCAATACTGATGTTAAAACTGGACAAAAATAAGTAGTCATTGAAAATAGCAGTTTTGTTATTCATTTCTGACACTTTGAAAAATAATATACTCATATTTTCATATGCTGATATCAAATTGATTTTTAAAAATGCAGTATCAATCTATTTTACTTTCAAAATCTCGTGAAATTTCATCATTCTGTTACAAACTCTCGTGATATTTTGCAAATTCTTGTGAGATGTTGTTAGTAAAATAGATCGATACCGCGTCAGTATATCAACATATAAAAATATGGCAAAATTTCGATGACATATAGCAATATTTCATTAGTAAAAGAGATTGATATGGTGTTTTTAAATGGCAATATATCCGCATATGAAGATGTTGTGATATTTTAATGTATCAATATTTTTTCCCTCGTCTTTAGAAGTTTTTAAGTCTGTAAAAAAGAAGTTTTTGAGGAAGAAGTAGTAGTAATTATTTTTTTTTTTTAGACTTTAGAAACTCAGAAGCTGATCAAATATCGGGTTAAATATCGGTGGGGTGGCCGATGTCCGATATTCAGATTTAAGGCCGATAGGGGGCCGATTATATCGTGCATCCCTAGTTCAGATCGCTTTATTGGTAGAGATTTTACTGATGGTTATGTCTTTAAATGTCTAAATGTCTTTAATGCGATGATTGCTGATAGAACAGAACTTAGCAGATGTTTCTTTATTCTACTTGCATAATCTAAATACCTGAACAGTCAATAAAAAAAAAGGTTTTTGGTTGCCTCCAATAAACAACTTTTTTTCAAATAGAATTAACATCTGTCCTCATCAGGTGTATTAATGTAATATACTATACTTATAACTGTATATAATAACTAAAATCCTGCTAATGGAGAGTGTGTTTTGTTATATTAGTAATAAATTGAATTAAGGGTTAATTTCCGGGGGTTTAGTTTCAGCTAAGCTTTGGTTTGTTGCAGCGTGGGTCGGCGGCTTCGTCTCCATCACCATCATCAGTATGCTGTCGCTGCTCGGCGTCGTCCTCATCCCACTCATGAACAAAGTTTTCTTCAAGTTCCTCCTCAGCTTCCTGGTGGCCCTGGCTGTGGGGACACTGAGTGGAGACGCCTTCCTGCACCTTATACCTCATGTGAGTTCATGTGGAGGATGGTGACCAGCCACACTTTGGTCGCACACTCTCTGCTTTAATTAACCACCTTGATATACAGGGAACATAAAGTCTACCAAGTTGAGTAAATGTCTTTTTTCTAGACATGCCTGATATATGAGATCTTTTCCAAAATTTTAGACTAATTGTGTCAGAATAACGTTTTTTGTTGTTGTTTGTTTCTACGTGTTTGAAAAAAGTTAGAAAACAATCCACTGGACTTTGCTTCCAAGTTTGAAGACATTTTGCTTCTCATCAACGAAGCTTTTTCATTTCAAAAATTTAGAATTTTAATTTTTGAATTGAAAAAAAAATCTTTGAATTTTAAATGGAAAGAGCTTCTTGGATGGGAAGCGAAACATCTTCCAACTTGGAAACAAAGTCCAGGAGATTGTTTTTTAATTGCTGAAAGAAATAAAACATTCATCATAAGAAGTTAGAAAATAAAACATCTCAATTTTCAGTTGTTTTATTTATTTAGCTTTGCAAAGATTGGCAGGATTTTGATTTTGTTTATGTTTTATTAATATGTTATTTTATAAAACAGCCTGGCTTTGCAGGCACCTGATTATATTTTAGGCATTTGACTGTATTGGTTGGTTTTTAGATGAGACCTTATTAATTTTGTTCCCCAAATCATTTTCAATTTTTTCATAAATTGTTTTTAAACTCTTCTCTTCAGTCTCAGGGAAGCCATCACCACCACCACCATGAGGAACCGGGTATGGACCTTGGAGAGCATCACATCCATGAAGAAAACGGGGAAGACCTTGATGGGATGTGGAAAGGCCTAGCTGCTCTGGGAGGCGTCTACTTCATGTTCCTGATTGAACACTTCCTGACGCTGGGAAAAATGTACAAAGACAAGAAGCAGAAGGTTAGAATTAGATAAACGGCTCATTAACTCGAGGGTCGGTCACATGTTGTCTGCATAATCTAAGGCAGGACTGGGCGATATGAAGAAAATCTAATATCACCATATATTTGGGCTATATCACGATACACTATACTACAATATATATCACAATATGATAAAATTACATTCAAAAACAAAAGAGTGCATAAAATTGCACTGATATACTCATTCAAACCTTTGGTTTCAAATTAAAAACATTTTATTTTAACCAGCTCAAAGCTGTCCATTAATAATACAGCCACATTATGTCTTTCAGTGCCAGTATTAGACCTTTAATAAGATCCAAGCAACAAACCAGGAAACTAAGCAGAAACACACAATACTGAATCCATCCATCCTTTTTCTCTCACGCTGAGAGTCGCGAGGGGTTCCAGCTGTCTATGGCGAGAGGCGGGGTCCAGCCTGGACAGGTCGCCAGTCCATCGCAGGGCAACACAGAGACGAACAGGACAAACAACCATTCACAAACTCACACCTAAGGAGAATTTAGAGATGCAAATGAACCTAACAGTCATGTTTTGGACTGTGGGAGGAAGCCGGAGTACCCAGAGAGAACCCACACATGCACGGGGAGAACGCAATACTAAATAAAGAGCAAAATAAAAAAGGGCTCTTGAAAAAAGAAATTGACCTAAAATTACAAAAACAAAAGGAAATACTGTCCAAATATTAGTGCGTTATTAGAGCATCTCTAAAACTATTTACACTGATCTATACGTGCTGGGAATTTAATGAGCACAAAAAGTTGTAATTTGAGAAAATCGCCAAGTTAACAAAACACCTCCAAACCTCTGAACCATACCACATCACAGGTATTGGAGGAACTCACAGATGCTATTCATTACGATTTTAGATTCTCTATCTATTAATTTTTCTCTCATATGAGATGGCTTTTTAAACAACAAAGCCAACGTCGTCGGCTTCACAGCCCAATATCAGAATATTCAAAGCAGAATATTTTAATCGGTGTGAGGAGACGCCGGCATGCAGACGTCACAACATTCTTCATTTTGCAGCGGATTACTTATTAGGTGATAGAATAAGTTTGTACTGCTGTCGCCATATTTCACTGTGTGGCGCACAGAAAATAATCCTGTTTGGAGGACAGGTCTATGATGCATTCAAAGTGTGTGGGAAAAATAAAACTCAGTGAAATAGGCTTAATGTCGTCCAACGAATTTGTACTCTATGGTTGCGATTGTCATTTTAAATATCGTGCGTGGGGAAAACCTGAGATACATCGAGTATATTTGATATATCACCCGTCCGTAATCTAAGGCTGTTTTTATTACCATCATCTGGACTCTCAATGCCAGTGATAATTGTTAATGCTAATTCATTTCCTGCAGCAGGAGGAGCAAGAAGAAACTTTGACAGTAGAACTGCCATTTAGATGGATTAAATCAAACTTTTATCCATTATCTAATTAAATGATTATTGTAATTAGGAATCAGTTTACATTTAATTAAACAAAGAAATACATTAACTTTGTGAAATCATGAAATGTGCTCGTTCAGAGTTTGCCGTTGAACAAGGAGGATTTCTCCTTCTTCTTCCTCTATGAAACCGAACAATATTTTCTGTCCCTACATATCCAGAAGAAATGGGACCAGAATGATAAATCGGATCCGGAGAAGCAGCCCGCTCTGGTGGCCAGCGAGCTGAAGCCAACTGAAGGTGAGAGGCGACAGCAAAAAGAAAAACATCAACTGAGTTAATCTCAAAACTCCAGCCCTGACGCCAACGCTGCAGACGTCTCAGTTTTGTCCCTTCTTGTGTTTTCCGCCTTCAGACGTGGAGACGAACGGCGCCAGCACGTTTGCCGACCACTCCAATGACGTGGCGGAGGAGGAGCAGGTGATGCTGACGCCACAGGTGTCCGTTGTCTCGCCGCAGAGCTACGGCCGACCCTCGGGGGACGCCGCCTACTCGGCGGAGGACTGCGAGAACAAATGCCACTCCCACTTCCATGACACGGTGGGCCAGGCGGACAGCATGCACCACCACCATCATGACTACCACCACATCCTGCATCACCACCACTCCCAGAACCACCACCCACACAGCCACTCCCACTCCTACTCAGAGCAGCACTTCCAGCAGGCCGGCGTGGCCACGCTCGCCTGGATGGTCATCATGGGAGATGGGCTGCACAACTTCAGCGACGGCCTCGCCATCGGTGAGAAGCCGCTGCAGATCCGGCTTAAAACCGTCTCAGTTTTGGACACTTCTAATGCAGTTGTATGTTTTTGCAGGAGCTGCTTTTACTGAGAGTCTGTCCAGCGGCCTCAGTACGTCGGTGGCTGTTTTCTGCCATGAGCTGCCTCATGAGTTGGGTAAGACCTCCATCTTTGCGCTGGTTACCAGGAGAGGCAGTAAAGTTTACGGTTTAAATTTAAAGAGGGCTTTTCTAATTGTTCCTGAACATAGAAAACTCCCCAAAACATATTTTTTTCATTTTAAAATTCAAATAAAAATGTTACAAATTCGCATTTTTTATTTTATTTTTTTCACAAACGTTTAACTTGCAGAAAACCTTTCCTAACAGACAGTCGACCAAAGTCCTATCAAGCAGAATTGATTTTCAGTAAGTTAGGATTAGGGCTGAACAATTTTTTGCCAAAAAACAAAATTGCGATTATTTTAAAACAATAATGCAATTTTATTGCGATTTTTCCTTTGCACTTAGCGGAAGCTTGTAAATGTTTGGCTCTGAGGTTTCAGTGTTTTCCTGACCTGAACGCTTGCCTGTCCAGAGTCCATTGTTTCTGAACGTTATTGTAACCTTTGTGTAAAAAGTTCTTACTACTATTATCATGCATGGACCTCCCCTTCTGTGTGGCAGCAGACCCACTTTAAGTTCATTAGCGCCACCTAAAGGGCTGGAGGGAGAAACTCAGTCTCATACCCTTGTTAGATGTGATATGAACGCGTAATGGTTCCCAGGAATTAGCCAAACTTGACAGCATACTGAAGTGGGGATTCTTGATTCTTTAATTAAGCTATGTTGGAGCAGAGATGCATGTAAAAACTGCAGGACAGTAGATCTTTAGGGACTGGGTTTAGATCAGAGGTCTCTATCTGATCTAAACTGTCTGGCTTCATCCCAAAGATTTCAGTCTGTTGATTTCAAGTTTCACAGTTTGTGATGTTAATATTTATGGATCTGGGATTTGTTTAGTATTTATTTTGATATTATCGTATTTTCCGTACTACAGAACGCACCTCACAAATAAAAAAAAACAAATAAAAAATGGAAACATGCATGTATAAGCAGGCTTTAAGCTGCTATTACGGTGTCTCCCACCAAACCTGTAGGGGGAGCTCTATATATAGCCCCTGTAGTCTGGACGAGGAAGGAAGGTGGCTAACTCCTGTTAGCTTGTTGGCCCGCAGCTGTAAGAGCTTCAACTGAAAGATGGAGCTTCGCCAGCTCTTTATTTCAGCTCTGCAGACGTTTACCCAGGTCTCTTTATTAGTTTAGGAGATTTATTGCAGCAAATAAATGAAAATGTGTGAATTCAGGACATTTGTTCTCTGTAGTTCCTGCTGCTTGCTTCTTCTTGTGCTAAATTTCCAATTTTGACTCTCTTCTTTGGCGTTTAGAAAGAGTCAACAGAAAAGCCGCAGCTTCTTATAAGCTGCATGGTTCAAAGAGTTGGGGGAAAGTAGCGGCCTATAGTCCGGGAAGTACGGTACATGCTTCATCCTCATCGTGTTTCCTGCGTCGTGAAGTATACAGGAGGTAACGTGGGGCGATCAGCCTCTCACAACCTCCTAATCAGGAATCGTGAGGTCAGGAGAAAATCTAATTAAAATTCAGTCGGCCGTTGTGAGATGTTCGTGAACAAATCCTGCAGTTGAAGCAGAGCTACCAGATTTACCAGAACCTCAAGCACTGCGCATGTGCAAACAAAGGAGTTCTTCTTCCTCTTCCAGTCTTCGAGTCAGACCAGCGCCATCTCTTGCCGTTCAGTCGAGCGGGTGGTTTTTGGATGTGCAGTGTGAGCATGTAGATCGCATCAGAGCGCCGGGTCGCACAGTGTGAGAACGTACATCGAGAGCTGGGAAGTTTTAAACCCTACGGTTTCATTATACAGTTTGATTTGTAGCTGCGTGCCACGATTGAAAATATCGCACAGTTTATCCCCGGCTTTAGTCTCAGTCTGAACACACAAAGCACTGAGGGTGCCGTGAAACATTTGATTTACTTCCAGGATGCAGAGTTTAGAGTTTAATGTCAAACACTAGTTCCAGTGTTTCTGACCCAGAGGGCAGAGCAGGGATGTCGTCTGATTAAAGATTTCTGCAGCAGTTTTCTGTCGTCCCTTTATCCATGTGTGGAAACCAATTCCCAGTTGCATTGTTTTATTTATTTATTTATTTTTTCCTGGTTGAGCTAAGCTGAAATGTTTGGCTGCTTCTTATCCTTTATTTAGACCAGACTTTGGCTTCGAAGGGAAATCAGCTGCTTTATTTTACCTGCAGCTGTGGAAATATTGCATGAAGGCAAAACTCATCCCTGATCATCAGTCTTCCATCTGTTGATGTAAAGTGACATAGAACAAGCTGAAGGAGTGGAGCTACCTTCATGTTCATAGTTTTATTTTCTCTCCTGAAAGTGTCGGTAGATGAAAATGTTGCTGTTTTCTGTCTGACGATCTCTGTTCTGTTTCCAGGGGACTTTGCGGTGCTCCTGAAGGCGGGCATGACGGTGAAGCAGGCCATCCTTTACAACGCGCTGTCGGCCATGATGGCGTACCTTGGCATGGTGACGGGCATTTTAATCGGACACTACGCTGAAAACATCTGCATGTGGATCTTTGCCCTCACAGCCGGCCTCTTCATGTATGTGGCTCTGGTGGACATGGTGAGTTGGACCCACTGAGGAGCAGAACCCAAGGTCATCAGGGGAGGGTTCTTCCTCTGAGAAGCTGCTCAATCAGCTGCTCAGTCAACACAACTGCCTCATGGCGCCCTCTTGTGGCTGATTACTGAGTCTTCCTGCATACTGTTAAAACATATAAGCTCATAAGTCTTTGATATGAATTTATGTAAAAATCAAGAAATTTAATTGATGGGTTTCAGAAGCGTGATTCATGAAGCATTCTACCTAACGACGGCCATATTAAGTAGCGAACGCTCAGCGTAGCACTGTGGTGTGGCCCTCTGACCAGAACAGATCCTTCTTCTTTAAATCCCTGTTAGCTTAAACTATACAGAGAGAAAATTTGTTCTTGGATTTTTTTCAGCACTTTCCAACTGACAGTCTTATTTCATCTGATATTCATTCTGCTGATCTTTATGTAAACGGCTAAATGCAACGATAATGTCTGCAGCTAAATCTTTAGATCTTAATATCAAATGCATTTCTTTCAAATCAGTGTAATCTAATCGGTTAATTTTCTGAAGAAAAAAAATTGCACAAGAGATTAAGTCCAGTTGGCAACAGCCTAAGCTAGCTCTCCCGACTTGTTTTGAAATTCGGCTGATAAGAACCGTACACTGGACAGATGGCTACTTGCAGTCGGCGTCCATTCGGCCTTTCTGATCGCTGACGGCCATCTCTGACCACGTTGATTCTCTTTTGGTTAGAGAAATATATCAGCCGCATTTTTTATCGTCACATCCAACAGACAGACTGCATCTTTTAAGCGTAGGTGACCAGAGCAGGTTTGGTTCGAACATCTGTGACGTCAGCTCCAAGGCGTCAAGAAGGTAAACGGTTGCACAAGGATCGGTTCGCCTCAAGCTTCACATGATGATCAGATGCACCTCTTCAAGCAGGAGCTTCATCTGATTCATGGGAAGAAATCAGCAGAGGAGGATTCTGGGAAGGATTATTAGCCAGTTTCCAAACTGTGAGAAGATGATTGTTTGATGGAGAAAAAAGACATTATTCACTAGTGAAAACATTTAGGTGAGCTGCCGATGCCCTGCAGGGTGGATGTTGCAACAGATTCAAAGTTCAGAGCAGAAAATGATCCACCATAATAAACCCAAAAGTTTCACTTCAGGTTCTACAGGCTTCCTCTAGCATTTTAAAGGCTTTGATAGCATAACTGGATCAACTTTCTACCGATGCGCCTAAATCACATTTAACGCCACAGTTTACTCATTCTCCTGTTTTCTGTTGTAAACTGCTGCTTATTCAAACAACATTAACTAGTACATGATTAACAGAGTCTTGACATAATAATCCTTGTTTGAAACCTAGTTCTGCTAGAGAGCAGAAAAAAGGTCCTTACAGTGCTTCACTGAAGAAAAAGAAGCTTAAAACATCTATAGAAATATAAATGATTTAACATCTAATGACACGAATGGATGATGGTTAGGTTTTTTTTTTTTTTTATAACTGTTTCTCTATAAAACTACGACTGCAGATGAAAATATAACAGGATATCCTTTTGGTGATTTTCTCCTTTTTTGTTTTAGGATCTTGACTGGGAGACTTTCAGAGATGCTCAGTTTTTTTTTTTTTTGTTTTTTTTTTTCTTCAAACTGCTGGTCTGTTGGTCCAGGTTCAGATTTTAATAAATGACGTCATCCCTGCTTTCATCTCTGGCAGTAGAGGTTGGGTTTGTTTCAGTGTCAGAGGTTTGATCGATAACATCTGGGCACCATGCAGCTGCTGGACCATGACCTCCAGAGTTTCATAAAATCAAAATATGAGGCCATTGATCTGACAGCTGCAGCTTGGTCCAAACGGACTCTAGTTTTATTCCTTCAGAACAATGGTTCTCATCACATCATCAGTGTTTGAAATATTTGGTCTTCAAAACCTGGAGTGCAGTAAAGAGGCTGTAGACAAGCTTCTGCAAACTAATGAACATAAATGAAGTTAATAAGCAATTTAAACCATCTCACCTCTAGGGGTCGCCCTTACTCCACCGGGCTCAAACTTACACTATAAGCTCTATAAGCGTTGAGCATCAGGATTTAATTATGCTGCTTTAATATTTAGTCGGTTGGACAGAGTCTCGCCACATCGGTCCTGAGAAATGAGAGAAAAGAAGATGGCTTGCAGTTTTTTTTATATCCCTTTATATTTACAGATCTTCCTTTTTATTTAATGGTAACTCAGCTGCATACTGGAAAAAGGATCCAGAAATGAGTCAGCATGTCTTTAACTAAGTGTATTATCCCTTAATTTAACTATTTAAATAAGATGATTTGCCAACGGAATGAGTATTTTTACTCTTTAAAAAAAAAAATCGATAATATGCCCTTTAAATATACAATGTAATTGTTTTATTTTAAATGTAAAATGTCTTTCCATTGTCAAAGTGTCTCATATACTTCCTCAATTCAAGAACAAATGCACTTATTTTAGAAAAAAAAAATGATTTTTTTTTTTTTCCCCAGTGCATTCATCCATCAGAGGCCCGTTGAGCTGAAACCAGGTTTTAAGCTCTGATTCCTTTCATGCGTAGATGTTTGTCTGCTCATCAAAGGACTCAGTTTCCTAAACAGCATTCAGTTGTTCAGGTTTGCAGAGTCCTGGACCAGAGCGTTAGCTCTCCTGAACTGGATGTGGGCTCTCATGCATTCAAGTCTTCCCAGAATCACCTGATTATTCCTTCCCTTTGAACATATTGTTCCCTAATGTCCAGGAGTTACTTGTTTCCTTCAGGTGGAATGATTCCAGTCTGCTTTGATTTGACCGTCTCTTTCCCCCTTTCCTTCAGGTGCCAGAGATGCTGCACAACAACGCCGGAGACCACGGCTTCAGCCACTGCGGCTTCTTCCTGCTGCAGAACGCCGGCATCCTACTGGGCTTCTGCATCATGCTGCTCATCGCTCTGTTCGAGCATAAAATCCAGCTGGATCTGGGTTACTGATGGGGAACTGTCCCGTTCCTCCTGAAGGCTCTGTCCGTGCTTTTGTTTACATACTCCAGTCATCATAGTGTTTTAGTTTACTTAGTTGTATCGTTTAGATGAAAGGTAACGGCATGCAGGAAGCTGTCTCATGCTGCTGTTAAGAGAGATCAGTTCAGATGTTGCTGCTGGAGATGAGGTCTGAATTCGAGGCTTCAGGAGTCGTTCTTTCCTCCAGGTGGAGATTAGATCTCAGCACCAAGTCTGGGAGTTTGTTTTGAGTCAGTTTTTACTATTATCCGTTCCTTGTAGTAGTTCTATCTTTCTTTTTTTGCAAGTTAGTTTAGTTTTTTTTTTACATACATGCATATCTGTTTTTTGTACATTTTAATGAATACAATCGGACCAGTGTTACAAAGGTACAACTTTCTAGACCGCAGTTCCTTCAAATTCTGCTTTTCTGTATAAAATCCTTCAGAAAGCTTGTGGTGCAGCTGGTTAACAGTGAGTAAGGCCCTGATTGGGCTCAAGGATGCTGGTCAAACTGAGTTTAGGTTTATATACGAAGCTGTTTTGCAGCTCAGAAAATGATTTAAATGAAACTTAAAGCGATAGAATTACCAACTCAGATGAGCAACAGAATAAACATCCAGGGTTTACTTTAAGGCAGCAGGAGGTTCCTGCAAAAACTGACGGTTTTTTTAGAGTTCAAATGTTTATTTCCTCTTTAACAAGAGATTTAAATGGAACATCGGGCCAATTTTTACGCCTCCTTTTAATCTCTGTTACTAGAAATCAGTAAAAATGTAAAGACAGTTTAATTCTGCTGCTGCATCCTAAAATATTCTTTTCAAGAGTAACAAAGAAAGAGTTGTGTTTATTTATTTCATTCATTAATGTGTCGAAAATGCTGATAAAAGCCCCCCCCCCCCCAAAAAGCATTTTAAGTTGAATGTAAAAACTGAAGTCTTTCCTGAATAGTTGATGTTATTCTTCCAGTTAAAACACATAAATCATTAAGTCACTCTGAGTTCTACATGTAGGAGAATTTTGATCTCAAAGCAGAAAGAAAAACCCAGACTTCAATCACAATCTATTTATCAAACCTTTGCCATCCCAGATATGTTTAATTTATTTTCTTTGTTCTCATTGGTTTATTTTTGTGGTTAAATTTATTTCGGGTTTTTTTTTTTTGTTTGTTTGGTATTTTTGTTTTGGTAAAATGAAATGCACAGACTTAAATGTTTTCAGTCTTTATTATTAAATTATTTGTGTTTTGGAGGAATGCAGACCAGATAAGAAAAGTTCAGCCATTTTGTTTCTATGTTTTCAGACTGATGATGGCAGCTCTTTGAAAACGAAGGGTTTTCCTTGTAATATTTCCTGCTCTTCAGGATAAAGAGCAGCTGAAGAAACAGATTTTCACAGATTTTACTTTGATTGATCCAATTCTTAGGTCAAGGTTTCCTCACAGGTGGTTCAGCTGGACTCCACTGTGGTTCCAACATGTACAGTATTAAATGGGGTGTAAATACTTGGATGTTAAGTTGGTAGATGTATTTGTGATGTTTGCGTAAGTCTGCATTATGTTTCTTTTGACACAAACACAACCGGAGCTGGTACTGAAATCTTTGAGAAGTGATTAGAAGATGTGGAAAACTTAAAATAATTAAAGTCCATTAAAGACAATCATGTTTTTGAGGCTTCTTTTTGTTTGTTTAATAAGCTGATGATGTACAGTGTGGCCAATAAGGTCGTCCACTATCCACTGGGAAAGTTGGGCTACTCCTTTCACGTTAGAAGACCAGGTTGGGTGTTTAAAGCACTGGATAGCTAACAGAACGTGATCCTCACAAAGTTCCCCGGCTAAGTCAGTTCTGGAGATAAAATTTGGCCCAATCTGATGCCAAGCTAGTAAACTTACGGCAGTGGACCCAATGTAGAGTCCATCTGAATTTGCAAAACAACACTTAAACCAGAGTGGAAGTGTGTCGACAGTCACCATGATGAGTGTTGTCTGAATAGGGCTGGCAGTAAGGAAGGAGGTAGGAAGATGAGGAAACATCCTACGTCCCTAAACGCTGCTTAGGGGCTAAATAGCTTCATAATATTGTGTGGCTAGAGCTGTTGGCACAGTCTATTTAATGGAATTTAACAAAAATGTCATTTGTGCCAATATAGATATAGGAAATTGGTCCAATATTAGCCAAAACCTAAATATCAGAATAAATCAGCTTGCTTTAAAAATCCCAGCTATAAGTAAGCAAATAGAAACACTCTGCTTTTATCCACTTGTTTAAAGTTTCTGTAACCCATTAGTTAATAACATATAGCCACGACAGTTGTTTTCATAGCTAATTTTTACTATCGTTCTTTCTGTTTAATATTTTTTTTGATGTTTGTATACACGAATAACAAAGGTTTTTACATGATACATTGGTGTCAGCCTTAAACGTGTGTGTATACGCCCTTGGATGTTGAACAGCGTTTTCAGGAACAGAAAATTAAGATGACGAATGACTTACCTAAATAATTACAAAAAAAGAAGAGGGGAACAAGGAGAGAGAGAGAGAAAAAAAAACAATGGGTTGTGGGTGAAGGAGGGTTGCATAACTTAAAAAAAGTCCATGAACGTCTGGAATAACTAATTTTCTTGACTTTTAAAAGAGACATAACCTCTTAAATCCACTGTGTACTGGAGGGAGCAGTCATGGATTTCCAATTCAGGAGGTGGCTTTTAGTGAGGTGAAAGCTATCACCTGCAACTTATATTCTTTAGTAGAATATAAAGCATATCCAAAAAAGTTGAGTCAAACCTCGAACTAAACATTATTCCTGATAATTTGAATTGAAAAAGCTTCCTGGATGGGAAGCAAGACGTCTTCAAAGTCCAGGGGATTGTTGTTCATTTTCTTTTTTTGGGATGACTGTGACCTTGATGACTGAGAACCTTCACAAGCAATATAAAGTACTGTCATCCAGAAGACCAAAAATAACATGTAGTGAGATGTGAAAAGCATTGAAGTAAACTTGCCAAAAGTTTTAGAGAGCTGGAAAGGAGTAAAACATGCGTCAGATTGCAGGATGTGTTTCCACATCTGTCGCAGAGGTCTACCATATCTGGAAAGATGTGTGCCAGTCTAGTCTTCGAATAGTATCATCTAAATACAACTTTAGTCTGTATTAAGGTCAGGCGGGAACATAGAAAATCTGTGAATGGCCTTCAGCGCCGATTCCCACCAGTCTTCATCAAAGACCAACCCCAACTCACACTCATAAGTCTCCCTCATTTTGATGGTTAGATAATGATCATAAGATTGGATAGAACTGTAAACCTTTGAGATTAAAGATCTTTGTGAGGGATTGAATTGAAAGAGCTCACCCTATGGCTGCTTAGTGGGAGGTGAGGATAGTTGGCAAATAAGGACTGTGCACAATTCCTCACCTGGAAACAATCTAAAGAGACAGGGAGCTGAAAGGATGAATTCAGCAGCTGGGTCTGCGAAAGAGCAAAAAATCCCTACCCTATAAAATCCTCAAAACTTTTAAGTCCCTGATGCTATAAGGAGAAAGTTGGATCAGTGAATGTAGGTTTAAACACAGGATTTTATAACAATTGGGCTGAAGCCATAGGAGCATTACACTTAAAATGTTTCCTAAACTTTCCCTATTTTAAGTGTGGCATTTACCACAGGGTTGCAGGTCAGGCCAGAGGGGTTAGCTGCCATCGGGCCAGTCAATAAAGCAAGTAGAGAAACTGAGGAGCATGACTGCCTTTCCAGCTGATACCAGACTTCATCTCCTGACCTGGACTAGAGTATAATTTTAGTTAGTAGTAGAATTGACAATTCGGCTTCCCCAGAACTTACAATTCTGAAGTATATTTCGTTTAACTCTAGGTGTTTTGTCATTCCACAAAAAAAGAAGAAATAATAGAATCTACCATAAAAAAAAAAAAAACTTTATGCCAAAAATATAGGTACACATTGAAAAAGAGCTGGGCACTCATCTTGACTGTATTTATTATTTCCAATTAAGGAGAAAGGGAGGGAACCCATTTTTAAAATTTCGTCTTATTCTCGGCTGAAAGAGGGGAAATATTTTTAATATTAAAGATAATTG